CCCCCCTCGCCCCGGGCCCCCCCTCCGCTCCCCCCTTACCCAGCCCCCCCCGCACCCCCAGAGCCCCGCCCCCTTGTGCTCCCCGCGCCCCGCCCCCCCCCGCTCACCCCTCCTCTCTCTCTCTCTCCCCCCTCGCGCCGCTCCCGCCGCTGACGGACCCTCCGGGCTCGGGCTGAACCACGCGCCGCGCGGGGGCGCGGGGCCGAACCATCCCAGGCGGGGGGGGTGCCCGCCCCCCTGCCCGCATCCGCATGGCTCGGAGCCCGCGGCACCCCCTCTCCCGCCGGCGGGATGGTCCGGCCCGGCCGCGCGGGGCCTACTGGGGGCTGTAGTCCTGAGGGCGCAGGGAGGGACAGAGAGACACGGGGACGGATGGACAGACAGACATACGGACGGGGACGTGGGGAGGGGGGACAGATCAGCCGGGAACAGGGACGGACAGACAGGGGGGCCGGCTGGATGGGTCCCCAGTGCCTATCCCCTTAACTCTGCCCCTTTGGGCCCCACTCCATCACAGAGGGAGATTGGCACCCGCTCCCCACCTCCTGCCACGCCCGGGGTGGGCCGTGCCCCGGAGATGACTCCAGGGCTGTGCAGGGAAGGGGTCTGGGTCTGTAGAATCCCCCAGAAATTGGCAGGCGTGCGGTGAGGGAAGAAGACACGGCTCTGCCTCAGTTTCCCCACTCTACCATGTCAATTCCCCCGGCGGTTTGCGAGGATCCCGTGCCACCCGTGGCGGTGGCCTCACAGAGTCGATGGGAAGGAGAAGGCGACCGCGGTCACCTGGAGCGAATTTACCAGGCGTGCTGCTTCTGCTGCCATTAATCCTGGGGTCTCTGAACCCCCCAGACTTTGCTTGGCCACCTCACTTGTCGTCTTTTAACAAACATTTTTGGCATGGCATTTCCTTCGGTTTTATCCCTGGCTCTGGGAGGGGAGTGGGGGCTGGTGCAGGGCCGCCCAAAGGGGGGGGGCAAGTGGGGCAATTTGCCCCGGGCCCGCAGGGGCCCCTCCAAGAATATAGTATTCTATAGTATTGCAACTTGTTTTTTTATGGAAGGGGCCACCGAAATTGCTTTGGCCCAGGCCCCCTGAATCCTCTGGGCAGCCCTGGGCTGGTGGTTAGAGCAGCGGGGGGGGGGGGGAGGGTTTCTGGGAGCCAGGACTCCTGGGTTCTCTCCCAGCTCTGGCAGGCGCGTGGGGTCTATCAGGTTAGACTGCGGGGGCTGGGAGCCCGGACTCCTGGGTTCTCACCCCAGCTCTGGGAGGGGGTCGAGCAGAGCGGTGCTGGGAACCAGGACTCCTGAGTTCTATTCTCGGCACAAGGAGGGGACTGACATCTAGCAGTTAGATCCTTCTCTCCCGTCCTACCTCCAGGCCCTTCCCCAACCCCCTTGGAGGGACGACCGAGGAAGAAGTGACCTGCCAGAGACAGAATCTCTGTTTATTTTGTTATTTCCAGGCTCCCTGTAGGTGCAGGGGGGACAAGATCAAGTCCAAGGGGGGCGGGGGGCAGCCTGGGATTTCTGTATTAAAATAGCATCTTCAGAAAACATGCACCTGGCCTGGATGGATGGACATGCACATCCCAGTCCCATGGGCCGGTCCTGAGCTGGGGGCAGGGGTGGGGACAGAGCCAGGTTGGGAATGGGCCCCGGGGCCTTTCCCCTCTAGGGGGCGCTGGGTCCGATCCGGGTGCACGGAGCTGTACAAAGGGGTTATTGCGTCTTTTCTTCCGTGGGCCCCGCTGGCTCACTCGGTCGCTCCATGGTGGGGGGTTCTGTGGGGCGGGGCTCCTCCACCGTCACCTCGGGGAGCGACATGGGGGGGTGGACGCCAGGCTCCAGGGCGCGGAGCCGCTGCATGAAGGTTGTGACTCGAATGGCCTTCTGTGGGGAGAGGGGAGCGGGTCAGAGAGCCCCACAATACTCCCCCCACTGTCCCCCCACAGTGCCCCCCAACCCACTCCCTGCAGCACGGCACCCCCTGGCCCCAGTCCTGCCTGCCAGGGGAGAGCTCCCCCTGACCAGCCCCCCACCCCGCCCCTCCAGCCTTGGCTCTGCCTGACAGGGGAGTGCGCCCCCTGCCCAGCCCCCCCAATCTGT